AAGCAAAACACAACAGCTCGACAGTGCAAGCGATGTCAGTGTTGGCAGCTACCGCGGGATGTTGGCAGCTACCGCCCGATCGCCCTCACGAGCCACCTCAGCAACCTCGTCGAGAGGCTGGTCCTGGGACGGCTGCGCCACATCGTGGAACGCGACCGGCTGGTCCCCGCCGAGCAAGTGGGGTTCCGCGCTGGACGGTCAGTGGAGGACAGCATCGGACGCCTGGTCCAACAAGTACAGGACGGCTGGAACCTCCCCAAGTCCCGCAGCAAGCGCGTGGCCGACGGCACCACCGTACAGAAATACGTCCTCCTGGCCTTCGGCTTCGCGCGAGCCTATGACACCGTGGACCATCGCCGGCTGAGAGTCCGCCTGATGGAGATGGGGGTACCCAGGTGCCTCTACAACTGGACGTGGCAGTTCCTGCGCGACCGCCGAGCGACGGTGGAGTACCAGAGCGCCACCAGCGGCGAGCGGGTGTTCAGGGCGGGCCTGCCTCAGGGCAGCGTCCTGTCCCCGGCCCTGTTTTTGTTGTGGGCCGCCCCACTCGCCGCGGAACTGCAGAGAGTCCCAGGCACCACGGCGTTTCTCTACGCGGACGACACAGCCGCCCTCTGCGCCGGTAACGACATTCAGGTCGCCCGGCAACGAGCGCAGCAGGCTGCGGACACCCTCGCGCAGTGGGCCCAAGCCAACAAGATGACGGTGGCCGGCCAGAAGACACAGGCTCTGGTCCTGTCCCAGTGGCCCCGCGATGCGGCTAACTGCTCCGTGAAGGTGGCAGGTGAAACCGTAACTGCGGGCGATCAGCTGAAGCTGCTGGGAGTCACCCTGGACCGGCTACTTCACTTCGGCCCCCACTGCCGCAGCCTGAGACAGAGAGTCCGCCCAAGGACTGCCCATCTGAGGAAGCTGACCGGTCGGGAATGGGGCCTCCAAGAGCAGCAGCTCCGCGTCGTAGCCCCCGGCTACGTTCGAGGAGCCCTCGAACACGCCGCAGCAGCGTGGCTCCCGGCAACATCGCCAACCCACCTCGGTCTCCTAGAGGTGGAGATGCGCGCGGCCGCCAGAGTGGTGACCGGATGCCCCCGGTCCACCCCGGCACATGGCCTGATGGCGGAGGCGGGACTCGCCCCGGTGGCTGAGCGCCGCACGGCCTTAGCGGCGCGTCTGCTGGCCAAGGCGCGCGCCCTGCCGGAGGACGACCCGCTCCGTACCGTCGCGGACCGAGAGGTTCGATCCCGCCTCAGCGCAGTGTCCGGCTGGCGTGGAGTCGGCGAGGAGGCCTGGAGGGAGGCGGGCATCACACCGCCGATCTCGATCGAGCCTCTAGTCCACAAATAACCCAAATTATCCAGTTCGGTGCTACACCGTCTTATCGTCACGACCGTCACATAATTGACTCAAAAATTTGTTTGTTTACATCCAAATATATGGTCAAGAATATTTTAAAACTTTAAGTATGTAATCATCTGACGATATCTAAGTGTGTGATACTGCTTTCGATAATCAAAATATTTTAAATATCAATAATTGAGTAAATTTGATGTTGAAGTTATATTTTTTCAATAGATTTCGTGTATTTCCAGTACATAATATGTGAACAATTAATAAAACACTTGTGGTCTTACGGACTCGGGATCGTTGTAGATGGCGCTGCATACGGTTTGTCACAGATTGTAGATGTCGCCCCAGTCAAATAATCTAAATTTTGATTTCCGATAGAAAAAGTCGCGGCGTCGTGGAGAAATGCCTCTATGGGCGTGTTTTTATGTAGTAAACTTATTTTTAGGGTCATCCGCAAAATTTCCGACCATTTTCCATCAGATTTTCGAGAAAAACCTATCAAGTGACACACCCTACTGAGCAGCCCTGCAGGTTCGGCTTCTGTCTGCACTTTTTTGCCACTTTGTCTATTTGTGAACATCAGTCTGGCCAATAAATACAATAAATTTATCAGTACGGCGCTAGGTTCTGATCTGTTTGAATCAGCATTGTACTTTCTAAATGAACAATAGTGTGGTAAACAAATAAGTGTTGCATAAACATGAATATTGCTTGAATTATATACCAAAAAAAAAAAAAAACAGCTCAGTAAGTGGCAAAGCTCCGATATATTCTTGTTAGGTGATTTTCTGTAGCTTTTCTTGTACAGCCCACCGCTAAAGTAATGTAGGGTTTTACCAATCTCAACGGTTGGCTTTGACTGGCGATTGTTTAATGCGGAGTGATCGAAAAGAAGATGTCAATAGCTAAAGCTGCAGCTGCAAGGGTGACGATACATATAAGCTACACTCAAAGTTTCATTGTAGTCTGGTTAATCGTTCCTAAGCTTCAGAAGTAGAACATACCCATGACTGAAACCCCACATTACTTCTGCTGTGGACTGTACCTATTGTTGTTTAGATGATTTTACGACTTTGTGGCAACTCTCGATGACTGTTTTGAGTGCAGAAGACTTTTTAATTTTAATATGATTTCTTGTGTACCAATAGGTACTTATTTCTAACGTGTGAAGAATGATACTTAACCGTCATAAGATTGAAATATGCCGCGTTTTCCTCAACCAAATTCCTAGAAATCGTACATAGCTGTAAATAGTGCAATGAAACAAAGCGCATGAAGCCCAACTGATCAAATGGAGGGGAAATTATAAAAAAAGTATGAGTAAAAAGCATGAACCTACGTTCTCGATGGACGAAGAATCAATGCTTTTTCACTGATAAACCATGACCCAAAAGCAGTAAATCGAATCAATTCTGCGGATGTTCGGTGCTATCGAGTGACCTGACGTCGTCTCTTGTAGGCATGTGAGGCCATATGGTGCAGTTAGAGCACCATTCTGTCTGATTACGTGCCGGCCGCACGCGGCGAGTCATGTGAGACTCCTTCTATAGACCAATATCTCGCAATAATCTCCGAATGGAGTCGCCCGACGGCCGATGCATATCGATATGGGGCCCTAATTACCTGCATATGCGGCGGTTGATGCGCGCTGCGGCCCCGCCCGATATCTGTTTATGTGTGCGTGATCTCGCCGCAGAGACCCCAAGCAACACTGGTCGCTGAGGCACGTGGTGGCTGTGCTCTGGTATCTGTGGTATCCCAACCAAGAAAAGGGGGTCTTGCTCCTTGGCAACTTGAAGATGCCTACACTTTTACTGAAAAGTGATGCAATCTGCAAGAAAATAGAAATATGACGATAAAAATAATAAGGCAGACATAATATGACAAGTGCATTGACAGAAACGTCACTCGTAATGTGAGCTTATATTGCAATGGAAATGAGCCATTACATCCACGCCTACCTTTTGACAAAACAAAAAAGACAACTGAAGGTAAGCAGCCAAGTTTTTGTTTGGGTAAAGAAAACATTAGCAATATATTGACGAAGTCATAGCTTTTCTTCAAGTTCTAACAAGAAGTTCTTGAAGTTAATATTACTTAATATCAAGGCTCTATAGCAGTAGCGGCAGAACACCTTCAATTAAGGGGGGGGGGGGGGGGGCACTGCCGACTTTTGGTCCCCATGCAACGCCCATGGGGCTAATGATAAAATGCCCAAATCAAAGGGGGGCACGGTGCCCGGTGCCCTCCCCGTTCCGCCACCTATGCTCTATTTTTCTATAGAACTTAATATTAATTATTAACCTCAAATCATAAATGCAAACTAAAATTTATTTATTGCTGGAAAAAGGATCATTTCTAGGTAGGTAGGTAATCAGATGCTTCAGTCGCTAATCGCATGTGATAAGCGGTGTGTATAGACGTGCGTAAATCCCATCAAAGCTGGATAGTTGGGGCTAATAGGTCGACATGCACGCGACAGACATGTAAATGAGTCTCTTGAGTTGGTATTAGACTTTGGATGGGTAGCTTGATGAGTGGCTTGGTATAGCCGACAGTACCTACTACCTACCTTCTTACAAATATCGTGGTCCGGATTTCGGAACTTGAAAATGCTGAATATAACGCTTGAAGTTTCTGAAGAAGATGTCAGGTTATATAGATAGACGCTGTTTTTAATCCGGAGAGTGTCTTAAGTGTGTGTTTTTTTCACATAGAGCTTTAGATATAAAAGTGCACGTGCAGCAGGTCGTCAGGCTGGTCACTGGTCATGCCAGCTCAGATGCTTCAGGCTCAGCTTCAGATGTTCAACCATCAAAAACATTTACCGCCACTGATGTTGCGCGAAATATTACGTGGGTTCTAAAAGCAGTTTACAAATGCTCAAATGGGTGATGAATTCGACATTCCCAAAACAACCCTCAAAAATATAAAAAAAAACGAGATCATGAAAGGTGAATGACCTTGACCTAGCCTTTAGGTGACCTTCACACCTATCTCAATCCATGGGGTAAGCATCATTTCACATGGTAGCACGCTGGCCGCTGCTAATCTAATCACTAAGTCTGGAACGCTCAGATAAATGTGCGGCGTGCGCCATCATTGGTCGAATCGCCATTCTGGCCTGACAAGGTCTTCAGAAAGAGGTCGAAGGTTAAATGTGACTTGGATTAACGTCATATAATTTTCAGGGTAGATGTAAGATTGATTAACCCGTGTTTTTTGCCATCTGTCGCTTTATTCTTGATTTATTAGTGAAAAAGCGAGGAAGTATCATCCGAACCTTTCCCTACGTGAAGGTCAACAGGAGTAAAATGCAATATTTACAAGCCTCCCTTGACACTTACATAGCTGACAAATGGCAGCGTACCGCCAGAGTGGCGTTCTTTTCCTTATTCTTCAGGTTGTTCGTGGTATTGACAATTGTTCATAAGGCAGACACACGAAGTGAAAAGCACATTAAGGTGGTTTTGGCTTCCGTTTTACATAGCAAAGAGCCGCACGGTGAAAGTCACTTACGGCACTCGGCACCCATCTCGGGCGTCCTCGCACTCGCCCTCTTCTCGCGATCTGAGCCGCCCGGCGACAACCCACCGATACCGGGAGGCGGCGGCCGGCGCAGGGTCGACCGGCGGCGGCGGCCGCGGTCTGCCGCCGCACGGGGCGCCAGTAGCGGCCCGCACTCGGCTGGGGGAAGAGCTCTGCCGCGCCGCCGCCGCCGCCGCCGCAGCGTGCAGACGCCGCACGCGCTTCCCAGTGACCCGAGCCGAGAGGTGGGCGCGCGCGCAGTGCACGGCCCAGGCTGACCCCTGCGAAGTGAGCGAGCCTCGAGCGCGGGCCTTGGGTGAGGAGAGACGGAGCAGAGGTCAGCGGGGAGCGCCAGGTGACCCGGCGGGACCTGACCCACACCCCGGGCAGGACGGAGCCGTAACCGCCGACCGTCCCGAACTCTGCCGTCCGCAGCTGGGGCATCGGCGGTCTCACACGCGCCACACTGATCGGAAAGCAGACGATCCAGGTAGGCCCGGGGAACATCGGCTGGGCTCACTGAAGTTGCAATTACATTGAAAAAACGGCATGTACACAGACGACAATTTTTTCACTGCTTATTACTTTTTTTGGACCTGATGACAAGGTGTTCCGAATCGTATGTTAAGACTGGCTGGTGCCTCCTGTGACTAAAACAAAAAATCCCTTTGTGTCGTTAAGTAACTGTTGTACCACTTACCATTTGATGGGCGTCTTTACTGTTACTTGAAAATGAAGTTCACTTTGCGAACAGGTACTCATCTACTCAAGGAACTTTCCACTGAATTGAGCCAGCATTGTCAGGAAAGATGTGCTGCGTGGATTGTGCTTGTACGTCTCGTGCCATTTAGGTACATCTATCTCATTAGGCCTTTGAAATGTGCAGAATGCTTTGCGGAGCTTTTCGCATAATTCGTTTTGTAGATTGTGAGTTGAATGAAAAGGCTAGCTGATGCCAGAAGCCGGAGTGTGGAGTGTTTTCAGTTTACGTTCAGGCATTGAAATTTTAACTGCCCAATTTTCAGGCTGCTGACATTTTATCAAAGTAAGTCAGTTTAACACGCAATATGGTAAACGCGCTACATAAGTAGTGTGTCACCATATGGGCAGCAAATAGGTTTTGAAACCCGGCCGAAATGTCCTTGATTTCTCCAGGAAGATGTCATTAATCTTTTTCAACTCATGTGGAATAATGCAATAAGTAATCAGTATCAGATTTGCTTACATACCTATGTATGTTTTACATTAAGCGTTTTTTTTTTTCACTCCGTCTGAAGTGTTGCAAGTATCTTCCAATCGTTGATAAATCCACTCCGTCATTTCGACGAAAACTTCTGTCAACGTCATTCTGTTATTGTTACAAGCTAGGGCTATACATATCAAAGGATTGAGAGTCGTCTGGCTCAGAACTCTCCTAATTTGCAGTCTGTTCGACGGCTTCTATCGAAACTTATCTGGCTCATTCAAGGAAGAGTTTATTTCTGTATTGGAAGGATGATGCAGTAAGCCTAACTCAACCAAACTAGTGATGCTGTAATTGAAAGGGTTTGCAAATCACAAGAGAAATTAACCGTTAACTACACAAGAAATAAATACTGATAGCACACTTATGTCTCCCAGTTCTCATCTCAAGCAGTTTTTTCAACAACTTGCTCTCAACTGCTTTTTAAAACGCGCACCGACGGGGGGAGGGGGGTGCGGATATCCGCCCCCCCCTGAAGTTTTTCGCGAATAGCGGAAAAACCGAAAAATTTGAAGAAATTTGGTACGACTATTCTCTCATCAATTTTACACATGATATGCAAGTTTGAACCTCCTAACTTTTAAGGTCAGGTCACCAGGTCACATTGAATGACCCAACCTCAAGTCGCTTTTTTGCAAAGTTGTCACCGTGCCAGAGCTACAGTAGATGTCGGAGGCCTTTGAAAGTCGCAGGATGTTATTAGGTCATTAGTAGCTACAATTTGTATATCTTGAAATTTTGATATCGGTGACCTAAGGTCAGGTCAATTTCTCGACCTCCCCATTATAAGTCAATGGGGGAAAAATCAACTCCCTGTTTTTACCACTAAAACGGGTCGGAATGGCCCCATATACCATACATGACTTCATATACGATCAACCGACACTACCTTGAGGTCTGTTTTGCTGTTGGGCAGCTGTAAGGCTATGTGACGTCATCAAAGGTCACCAAAGGTTTTTTGCCAATAACTCCGTGCAGGAACAAGATGCAGCCGCGCGGATGGTCTCATTGTGTTCAGCTCGTCAAACGCATCGAATGATATACATGATGACCTCGAGGTCACGTGACCTGAGGTCAACCTTTGACCTTGACCTTTCGAGGTCAACATATATATCATTCGATGCGGATTGACGAGAGGATCACGATGGTGCCCTTAGATTGTTCCTATCCTGACTAGCTCGAAAGTTATTCGAGAAAAACGCTCTCCATATCTAGCGCCGCTATTTTGACTTTTTTGACCCCTGTGACGTCATCTTTGACCTGACTTGAAAATGACCTTGGTAAAAATTGTAGACCTTGTCCGTGCGTATCCCATGCCGTTTACCGCTTGTCGCTATCTTGCTTCGTTCTCGAGATCTCAGGGGGGGGGGAGCGGTCATCCGCCCCCCCGTCGGTTCGAAGTTGGCGCAGACCCCCGTCGGTGCGGGGGTTAAGATTATATTTCCTATCACACTACATTAACAGCTCAAATCATGTAATATGGGTGTAGTTAATTTGCAATGCAGGCATGGATATAAACTAAGGAGCAACTGTAGAACTCAGATAGGAATGTCTAGAAACGCCCATTTGGACAGCAAATAGGTATGCTTCATTAACGTCTAAATTCGGTTCCGAGACTCCTGCTTTTTGCCAAGTACCTCGGGGAACCTGTCATACATTGTCCTTTTCCATTTTCGGGAACAAAACAGGTTGACAGGAGCGAAGCGCCACACGCATAATTTTCTGCTCAGTATAGCAGGCGGCCCCTAACACAGAGTGGCAGGGTAGTTAAGTACTTTAACGCTGATTTAAGCGTCTTGTCGATGTTTGCTGCACCGTCCGCATTGCGTCGGGCGCCCCACTAAGGCAATCGACAAAGTACATCACAAAGCTATACTTATAAAAACACATAACATGGGAATACGCGGACGAATGGCCAATTTCATAAGTAATTTTCTTAATAACCGCACTTTCAAGGTCAGAGTAGGCAACACCTACTCAACCCTACATAACCTCGATCACGGCGTCCCTCAGGGAAGTCCTCTCTCCCCGACGCTCTTCCTTATCTATATAAATGACATCTTTGACAATATACACAATGTAACACATAACGTACACTATTCCATGTACGCGGACGATTTGGCGGTCTGGACGTCGCACCACAATGTGAATGCGGCATACCAAAAACTTCAAACGGTACTAAACCACGTAAACAAATGGTGTGACAAGTGGGGAATGCAAATTGCTCCCCACAAGTCAGCCTCACTAACCTTTTCCAAACAACGCAGACACCCCACACCTCCACGCCCGCTCCGTTTGGGCCGGGTTGAGATTCCGCAAACAAATACCTTTAAATATCTAGGCATCACACTGGACAGGGGTCTCACTTTCACACAACACATAGCAGACATCACAGGAAGGTGCACCCGGCGCCTCAACATCATGAAATGTATCTCTGGTACACACTGGGGCGCCGACAGAAAAACACTGACACTTCTATATACATCTCTGATTCGATCCATCTTGGATTATAATGCCTTTTTACTAACAAATATATCCACTACTCTCAGTAACAAGGTCGAGAGTATCCAGAATTCCGCTCTTCGCATTATTTCTGGCGCACTCCGCACTTCGCCTTCATCGAATCTCCGTGTTGATTCAAACATTCCTCCTTTGGAAAGAAGAAGAGAATACCAGCTTATAAGGTATTACACGAAAGTAATGGCAAGAAAAGATACAATACCATACGCTATACTCAGTAACCTACCAGAAAATAACATAATAACACATAGAGAATACAAGTACCAAACAATAAGAAGACACCTTAAAAACATACTTAGGGACTATAAAATAGAAACTCCAAAGGTTCTAGATAACCCTCCACTGAGCCCGTACTGGACTAGGCACCCCATCCAAACCCTCATCCTCTTCGATGACAACAAAAAAGACATGAACACTGATGAAATGAAACAACTTTTCCTCGAATTCCAAAACGACCATAAAGACCATACTTTTATATACACAGACGGCTCTCGGACGGACAACAAGACCGGAGCCGCCTTCTATATAAAAGGATTCGCACAATCCACCCGCCTCTCCGATAACCACTCCATCTTTTCGGCCGAACTCTACGCAATCAGTGCAGCGCTTCGACACGTAATCAACAAACCTGATAGACAACTAATGATTTGTACTGATTCCAAGGCAGCAGTGCAATCAATCGCAGCGGCCCATAATGATTCGCACCCAATCACGCGAGATATTAAAAGACAAATTAATCAAATCACCGACCAAAACAGAGAAGTTAAGATAATCTGGATACCCGGTCACGCGAATATTGTGGGGAATGAGCGCGCGGACAAAGCGGCCAAAGCCAGCCTCCGAGATCCCCCCAATAACTCCCTCCCATGTCCGGTATCAGATTATCTTAATGTCATTTACACGTCCTACAAAAAGTATGTCCAGTTTGAATGGGACGTAAATCCACATTACTACTTTCACCCAATCAAACCAATTATCGGACACTGGTCGACTGCTTATCAAAATACCCGGCTTAAAGAAGTAATTATAGCCAGACTTAGAATCGGACATACTAAATTGACACATGAATATATCTTTGATCAAGGCCCCCCTCCAATCTGCCAACGTTAGATACACAATTGAACACTTCTTGATCCACTGTCCCCAATATCAAGCAGAGAGGCAACCTATAATCCAATATATCACCCACAACCAACTTGCACTTTCAATTCCTACTCTCCTCGGCGATTCTCACCCGGATCTACTCGACTTGCTTTTCTCTTTCCTAAAGAATTCCAGGCTAGACCGATCCATATAGCACAGTCTCGCGCTCAGTTCCGTGGTCGGCCAGCCGTCGATAGCGGTTCTGGGCGCGGGACTCAATCTTTTTGATTTCCTGAATACTGGCCATGTCAATTAAGGAGCCCCGAGCTTACGGGCACCAGCCGCCGCCGCGGGGACCATTGGCACGCGGCGGCGGGCTCCTCTGCCTCCCATCTGCTTGGAGAAAGAGGTGTCGGCACTATGTCGTCCGCAACGACCCGTTTAATGGATTGTTACGTCACTGGAGTCCGCACTGAAACGTCAGTTCTCTTATCATACCAGTCAGCACTTGGGTAACTTCCCCCTACCCCGACCAGGGCCTCGGCCTGTCGGGAGCAAAATTCAAAAAAAAAAAAATGGGGGTTTTGTAGGAGCCCCGAGCTTACGGGCACCAGCCGCCGCCGCGGGGACCATTAGCACGCGGC